CCCCAAGGCAGAATCGAGCTCGAACCAAGACTGGGGGTTCGATCTAACACCGAGCTCGAGCCAGTGCTAAGCTCGCAGACAAGAGCCGTTACAACCGCACCGAAAGAGAGAATCTTGGCGGGAATCAAGGAAGAGACAAACCATCATGGGTCCTCCACTATATGTATTATTTTATTATGTTGTTATAGATAAAGCAGTGACCCTCTACTATAAAAAGGGACATAGGCTGCAATAGACCAGGCCGCTGGAAGAGACATTGAGATTTCATTGTGCTTGTTTTCTTTAACTCATTCAGTCTTCCTGTTCATTATTCCCACTTTATAGCAAAAATATCTGTATTGTCATTTTGTATCAAAGGAATTTGCATACCCTTAGAACCACATCTAAATTTAACATTATCCGATTTTTCGGGTAAACAATAATAAACTTTTCAACAGGTCAAAATCTTTTGTTTAGTTATGACTTGTGTTATGAAGCTGCCTTTATTGAAGTGGATAAAAGGTGCACACTCAGTACAATGCCTCCACTGCTAATGTTGTTTCCTCAACTCTCTCTTGAGCTTTCTGTGCCTAAACAACAAAAAATTTATATCAGAATTATGGGAAAAATTCTCAAGTAACCAATGAGTTAGGCTGGGTGGGGAGTTGCTTACTTCTTGTTCCCAGTTAGTGCGCATTGTAATGAAAAGAAGAGACAGCACTTGTACTAGGAGTGCACAAATAATACCCAACCATAAACCCTGTTTGTAATTGCAAAGAAAAGAAAAGATTAATCAAATCTTTATGAAAGTGCAGTGAATTTAATTGCACCTTCAAGAGGCTAAAGAAAAGTTTTTAAGTTATACACACTGACAGTGTAAAGAATCTTTACAGTAATTAACCTGTGATAGTAAGATCGTTACCTTCCCTCCGATGTGAAGAACGAACGCCATCAAGACAGCAGAAGGAATTCCCACAAGATAATAGGATCCAAGGTTAATAATTGCCCCTATCTTCTGCCATCCAAACCCTCTTACAGCACCTGTATGTGAAATATGCATGCTCCTTAGTCCTTATCAACAGCACATATCTCACTCGTTTCTTCTTCAACTCCAAATAAAACGCATGATCGTGCTCATGAATCATAGTGATTGACAGTTTGTATTAAGAAAAAGGATCTTAGAATAGTATTTATTCAAATGCAGATTCAAGATTTTAAGCAGTGGGTGAGAAGTAGTATTATTTGTATTTACGACTCCTCGTCGCAAAGGGTACAATCTTATTGTATTAACTATATATTTTCAGAAAAAAACAGTTGCAACATTTATAAGTGCGAACCTGAGAGAACACATTGAAGGCCATCCATGAAATTTGATGCAGCAAGAAGTGGCATCATCGTGGCGATGTATGTAACAACTTCATTCTCATTGCTGTAAGCATATCCCCATAGGTTACGTATCAGTATCATGACCAATCCCAACACAAGTCCCTCTGTAACAGCCACTGCCAGTACAACATAGAGCGCCAAACGTGCAATTTGAGGATGACCTGCTCCCAGTTCATTTGAGACCCGTGTACTGCAATGCACAAGACATGTCTACTTCACAACACTTACAAATTAATATGAACCAAAGTTATACATATTCCGATGACTAACCTTATAGCAGCACTCAGTCCAAAAGGGATCATCCATACCGTTGCTGCTGTATTAAGACTAGGAACCAATGAAGCGTATCAGTAAGTAATGCTTGAAAATGAAAGATTTTGCTTGATAAACCAATCAGAAGGTACTGCATTAAACGAGAGGTGAACAATTCGAACCAAATTGAGAGCACCGAGGTTTCCAACTGTGGATTTGGAAGAAGGCCAGAAAGCAGAACCATTAGCTCAAATGACCACATTTCTAAGCTGTTGATAATCATAAAAGTAGACACGTTAACAATCAATAAATAAACTAGTACTACTTACTTATGGGAAAACCAAGAAATGTGGACTGACCAGACCATGATGGCCGAGGGAATTGCGAGTCTAATAAAAGTAAGCATATCTTTCAGAGCTTCTTTTGACAGTCCTGTCCAAGTTTTTGCACATGAAGGAGAAAACTTGACATAAAGAGCCAAAAACAAAAAGTTAAGCCAGTAAGAGATAGAACTTGCAAGAGCAGCTCCTTTGCCGCCAAGGGCAGACTTGAAAACCAAAATCCAACAGATAAGGATGTGGATTAAAGTTGTAATTCCAGCACATAACACCATAGGGATGACAATACTTTGTGTTTGTAAGAATCTTACAACACATTGGAGCAATCCATAAGCGAAAATACCGGGGATAAAATACAAGGCATAATGACCGGCTTCATCTGCTATACTAGGATCTTGGCCTAACAGCTTCAGAATAGGGCCAGTGTTTCCCCATATGACTGCAAGAGGTATGCTTACAAGTGAAAGTATAATCATTGCTCTCTGCATGTGAATGCCAAGCATATGATACTGCTTTGCTCCATATGACTGCCCGCAAAATGTGTCCAGTGCACTTGACATCCCCATCTATTCGTAAACATGATAAAAGAATTTCCATCAGAAATCAAGCCGTATTAATAAGATGTAGTGTATTTTGATGTCATAAAGAATTAAATAAGAATCTTGAACTGTGCTCTATTTTCTTCCTGACTATGAAGAGGGTGTTTCCAATTCCACGCACCGGAGCAACAACATGAATAATGACGACTTAATCTCGTGTCTCCAATTTTAAGATATTTACACTAACAACAACAAAAATATGCGGCATGGTTAGTGCAAAGTGTTGAAGACATAATTAAGTAAATAAAAGTGTATACTCTCCAATAACTTAAGCTTTAAGATGAGATGGTCGCACATTTCAACATGGTATCAGAGCAGCCAAAAGTCCTGGGTTCGAGTTTCACCGCCACCCAATATTAAAAAGAAATATCCCATGCTTGGCTCATCAAATAGAATCAAGCCCGCACGTAAGGGGCGTGTTGAAGACATAATTAAGTAAATAAAAGTGTGCACTCTCTAACAACTTAAGCTTTTAAATGAGATAGTCACACTTAACACAAAGTGATAACAGATTACTCATTCTTAGCTTCAGAAATCACCAATTATTTGGAGCAATACCCATTCATTACTAATACTAAATTAAATATTGTGTAATTTCTAGGAAAGGGATGTCCAAAACCAACAAATGACGCACCACAGATCCACACCTACCGTACTAACACGTATCCTTATGAGACTAATATTACTAGAAAGTTAAAGGAAGATCTGATAGAAGAAATGGCAAAATAATACCGAGGAAGCAAGAAGAACAAGTTGGAAAAGCAGCACTAAATTGAACAAAAATTGAGTTAATAGGATTTAATAAGTCTTCTAATGACTAGCATTAAAATGAAGTGGTTCTAGAAACTTGACCAAGTTTGGTCAAAAGAAACACACAACATAGTTTTTAAGAAGCAACAGCTAAGTTGGATACTCCGAAACTAAAATCAGTATTGCTATCTTCATTCGAATGTTTAAATTGAAAATTAGAAGATATAGAAGCTGAACTCACCAATAGGCTAATACCAGTAACAGATGTAAAGGAAGTAGCCATAGAAGCACCAGAGAGAGGCAATTTTCCAAGATGACCAACAAACATTATGGCTATAAGCTGTAAAGAAAACTGCAAAAGGGTTACGCTCACTAGGGGTCCGGCTAGCCATACTTGCTTCTTTACTTCCTCTACAATTTGCTCCTTGCTAAAACCACCATTATTATTTCTTGTTTCATTAAAAAGACTCTGCTTTTCACGGTCGTCGACTATCAATGGCGTCTTGACAGAGGCTGACTTTTCATATTCTCCTTCCATTTTGGTCCCGTCTGTCGTTTTTGCTCTGGACCTCTCCTCTTTAGCTCTCTCTCTCAAAATCTCGAATACGCAGCCAGTGGTAGAAGGAAATTTATAGTAATTAAAACTTGCGGTCAATAATGGAGGTTGAAATTCTGTTCTCCACGTAAAACTCACACGAAATGGGACAAAAGAATACTCTCATGTATGTTTGGTTGGTGGGAATTGGGATAGGGGTAATTACTCTCGAAATAAAATGGGAAATTATTCTATTTTATGTTTTGTTATGTGTATTAATTAACCCCGAGAACTATTTTGAATTAAAATGATAGGATTAGCTATTTCGTAGTACCGAGATAGCTAACCTCATAGAATATTTTTATCTATCTCATCCGGGTAACCAAGCAACTCCTCACCTTCACAATTATGTGCCAGTCTTCTATTTTTTTTAAATTTGTTCAAAAAGCATGATAACCATTTATATATTAAAAATTATTTAATTTTAAAATTAAAACGAGTAAAATTGATAAGAGACCAAGTTTTGAAATTTGTAATTTAAAACAAGTCATAATATTCATTTGACTGTCAAAAATTTCTCATTAAGAAAATATTAAAATATGTCTTTTTTTAGGCGAACTAATGAGTAAATAGTGTCAAACAAAATAAAATAGAGACCGTACAAAATAATTATGCAACAAAACATAACATTATGTATTTGTATTATATGGTGAACTCCTTGACCCGAAAATGAATAATGGAGTAATACGAGCTTAGAGCTAGATGCAAGTTTTCATTGATTATTGATATTTAAAAAAAGGCTGCTAGTTGAGTAGCAATAAATAAGTAGTAGTAATAATTATGCAAAAATGGTACTAAACTAGTTTTCACCTTTTCTTGTTTGTTTTATGCTAAAGTTTGAGCACAAAACAAGAAGAATCCCGACAATTCTTAGTCCTCACTTGATAGTAATTAGTAATGGTTCAGATTTTCAATTCATAATAAAATTTGAACACTTTCGTTAGCCCATTTTTGTTACCGTTAGGTGTCAAAGTATTTACGTACTTTTTTCAAAGGTACAGATTTTGCTAGTTTAAACAGCTAATTAAAAGGGAAAGAGAGAGAAATCCTAAAGCAGAACACGAGTCCCAATTTCTCAAATGAACTGGGAGCTCGGAATCTTAATGTTGGACAGACTATTGAATAGGTTGCAAAGAGGAAAAACAGATAAATGCATCAAATTGATAATCAGAATCAAATCGAAAAAAAAAATTGAAGTGATTTGGTATTGGAAAATAAAACCCGATCATAATTAGTTTGATTTGATTTTAACTAAAAAAAAGTCAAATCGAAACCAAACCAACACGATAATACATTTATATAATTTTAAAAAATATTTTATACATATAAATATTTATTATAATGTAATTTATAAATATTTCTTAAACTTTTTCACAGTTTTATCTTTTAACATATTATTTCAAGTTTAGATTTAACACTCTTGAATGGTAAATAAATTTTATAGCCCATAAATGTAATAATTCAAACAAAGTTCAAATCAATACTAATGCTAACAAAAGAAATTCAATTTAATACTAGGAATGACGATAGTGTTGGATAATTATTTTAGTTTTACATTGGTTTACAATGAAAATGCATAACTTAGTTTATCTTTTTCTTTAGTGCTTAGTTATATAATTAATATTAGTACTTATTAGCTATACTTATTTTAGCATGACATATATAATATTTTTAAATTATGTTAACTTTCATTATGACTTATTAATTAGCAATATTTATTTTATGTAATTTTATTATCTTATCTTTATTATTGAATATTTTAGTATAATGCTATGACTCGCTTCCGGTGTTTTATGTGACAAGAAGGTGCCACCGAAACTTAACGGTAAGTTCTATAGAGTGGTGGTCAGACCAACGACGTTGTATGGGGCTGAGTGTTGGCCAGTCAAGATCGCTCATGTCCAGAAGATGAAGGTAGCAGAGGTGAGGATGTTGAGATGGATGTGCGGGCACACCAAGTTAGATAGGATCAGAAATGAGATTATTCACGACAAGGTAGGTGTGACCCCTATTGAGGACAAGATGCGGGAAACGCGGCTTAGGTGGTTTGGTCATGTGAGGAGGAGGTGCACAGACGTCCCGGTGAGGAGGTGTGAGGTTGACATTGGAGGGCCTACGAAGAAGTAGAGGTAGACCAAAGAAGAAGTGGGGAGAAGTGATTAGGCTAGACATGGCGCAGCTTCAGCTGACCGAGGACATGATCCTTGATAGGAAGGTATGAAGGTCGAGGATTAGGGTAGTAGAGTAGGTAATCTAGAGTATTCATAACAGTAGTATTGGCACGCAGTCTCGCTTTTTGTGGGCAGTATGTTTTTATGACTAACCATTATTTTCTTTCATTGTTGATTACCTTAATATCTTGTTGTTTTTATTCTGCTTTTATATGGCTTTTTGGTACTGTCCCTTCTTGTCTATATTTTCATTAATATGGTGCTTATGCTTTCCTGAGCCGAGGGTCTATTGAAAACAACCTCTCTATCCTCACAAGGTAGGGATAAGGTCTGTGTACATACTACTCTCACCAGACCCCACGATATGGGATAAAACTGGGTATGTTGTTGTTATTGTTGTTGCTATGACTTATCTCATATTATTGTGTTAGTTTTTAAAAAACACATTATATAGTTGTATTTTACTAGGACTTAAGAAATATTTGAAGTATAAGTTACATATTTTATGCTATGAAGATTTTACCGAAAAAAATTCGAAAACCCGAAAGAAATTGAGATTGAAAAATCCGACTTAGTTGGTTTGGTTTGGTTTATAAATTTAAAAATCTGACACCATTAATTTGATTTGATAATTAAAAAATTCGGACCAACCCAACTTATGCACACCCTGTTATTGAATTTGAACTAGTTGAAACGAACCTAATCAGTAAATAAATTTGACAGCATAGAGTTAAGAAGAGACAGTTGTCGCTGTTAGAGGCTATCCTCTACAGCTGTAAGCCTGTACCTACGTGGTTCCCTAATGAAAGGGAATTGTTATGTCAATTTTAACTAAACATTCCGAAAACTCGCGTACCACGAACTAATTCGTTCGGTGTGTGCTAGTAGTACTAGTACTTTGACAACATGATAGTAGATATAGTTGTTTCAATCAAGCTACAATATCTATTTCCTTAACTTTGGTGCAAGAGCTTCTAGGATACAACGAAACTAAATCTATAATTGCGTTTTGTATAATAAACTATTCAGTAGTATATCTCATTCCGAAAAGCATTGTCAAATGTATTGCACGCGGTGCTTCAGTGGTGATCAAGAATATTATTTTAGGAATAAACGTAACAAGGCTGCCACCAACCTTTACTAAATAAGAAGACAAAAGCTCCGGTAAACATCATACAAGGTCACGAGTCACGTTTATCATGTTGGAACATGCACGGGAGTTTCCCCACTGAATATTCAAGGTTTATTATTTCCCTCTTGTACAAGTTTGAGGTACCAAAAAAAAACATTTTTTGTGAAGAATAATGAGTCGCAGATCTGAATGTCTAGGATGACTACGACTTTGGAATAACTACATAATTTATATAAATTAATGGCAAAATACATGAGTAATATCATGGGCGGCTTTCCAGCCATGCCCCATGACCCCTTGGACGCGCCCCGTGGCGTCCTGGCCA